GTCCTTAGTTTAGTGCATGTCGCATTACTCCATCAGTATTGAGAAATGATGAAGTATTCGATTTTTTTTACAGTTGTCATTCTTGCATTTATCTCAAGGATCCGACTCTAATTGAAAGGTCCCGCTATTTAAACCCTTCGGAGTATTGAAACACCCTCCAAAGGCACGCCCCTTTGTCAGTCAAAATTGGATTCCTTAGCAACAAAATTAAGGAATGACAGCGATATTGACCATGCATCAGAACCCTAGTCTTAAGCACTTCAAATTAGGGACCAACGAATAGAAGATTAGGAGTCACATAGATGAAGACTAACTAACTAATTTCTCCCTTGTTTCTAGTTCATCCTCGGTGGACTAAGCCGAGTCTTGTCGCTATCAACAAGGCATAAAAAGTAACAAGGACTGAAAAATCCTGTTCCCCTAGTTTGAAGTAGTCAGGACTAGGAATCGGTGGTAGATCTTACATCCCTTAACGTACCACGAAAAGGTGATCTACCCACTTAATTGTGTTTCTTGTGTGTTTTAGGGTGTCGGAAGGTGTTTATGGGTGTTTCTGCATGTAGACCTAGCTGTTAAAACGTTTATTGAAAATTAATGCTTACTGGCTAGCATTACATCCACTTTTGTTTATAATCAGAATTCTTTTTTTTTGCTCTTCAAAAATTTACCAATTTAATCATCCACAGTGAAAGCACGGAATTTCAGAAATAATGCACACGTCAATGTAAACAACTTACAGGAATTCAAATTCGCAACCCTGATCGTCATCCGCAACACCTATCTAAAAGAATTGCTGTGTATGTATGTCTGGAGGTCCACTCCGATCTCAAAAAGTACTCCCACAGTCGTCGCATTCTTATGTCATGATGCTTGACATCCTGGCTCAAACCAGTAAAGTCCTCTCGAATCCATCCCAACCGAATTCCAGTCGCAATCAAGCCCAGATAACCAAACCGAGCACGTCCCTTTCTAAGCAATCTCTGGATCTAAATTTCGCAAAAAAAACGAACCTATTTGTAAGCAGCAGCTAGTAGGATGGATCTCTCTGATTTGTGTATATGAAATCCACGATGAAAGGGTATCAAACACATTAGAAAGAAATATCTGTCTTCAACTATCGATCAATAATTGATATGATAATTATTATCCGCTTCATTCATATACAGTTACAGATATTCTAGCTTGTTAGAGGTTGAAATTGTCTGTTTTTCAATGTTGAGCTTGATGTTGAATCTTCTTTCCTAATTGCGGGGGTGAGGGCTACTTCGGTGTCCCGATCAGTTTTTTTGTGGAATCCTACCGATTTCTGGAGGTCCCTCCTTCAGAAAAAAAATCAACAAAAACAAAAAGGGCATCAAATGAATGCTAGTGCTGCCAGAAAAGATTGAAAAATTGGTTCTCATGTGTTTGAGTGTGTCGAAGAGTGTCGAAGAGTGTTTTTGATGTGTTTAACACAAGGTGGCAAAGTGGCTTACCCCCTGAATAGAACACACCATTTTCCACTCGGTATCTGCAAACTTCTAATAAACTAGACAGATGCGCCAGAGATGCTTAAAACATAGACGCCTAATATATAAAAAAAAAAATAAAAATGTCTTATCTTAATAAATAGTTATTTTGGCGTTCTTGTACCAAAAAATAACGATTTAGGTCCGTTGTGCACTTACCTTCTGAAAACTTTTAAAATTATAGGTTTGGATATTAATTCCATTGCTTTAGAAAATGCATCAGAAAAATAAAAAGCACTTTTCTTTAATTTGTTTTCCGAAAATGTTACATTGCATTGAACTTTGTTTTAGATAGTCTATCTTATGTAAAAATGCTGTGGGACACGATGGTGCAATCAAACCAAATATTTAGATGCATCAACTTAAAAAAATCACGTTTAAAGTTTTTAGTCGCTAAATAATATTTAAATTTGACAGCACTGTTTTTGGTAATGTAATAGATTTTTTTTCTTTAAATATTATTTTACACAATAAGTCATGAGAACGAATCCACTTATGAAGAGGAAATGGAAAAAAAAATAAAAAAAAAAGTTTTACCCTCATAATTTATGACTTTCATTCATTCAAAATGCAATATCTCAGGAACTACGCAAATTACTTTTTGTCGTTAAGTGTTTCTTATGTAAAAAAAGATGAAGAACACGATGGTGTCCTTAAAATGAAAATTAAACGACACGTATTAGGAGAAAACTGCATTTAAAGTTTTCAAACAAAAATAAAAAAATATTTGGCAACACTGTACAGAAACAAAAGTTACAGATTTAGATTTCTTGTCTAATTTTCTTATTAAAACAATACCTAATGCAATTTGTAGCTTTATTTGTTCCGGAGATATGAACAAAAGAAAGTAGTGCTTTCCAAAGAATCACGAAAAATGGAAAATGCGCCCCTTGACCGAGGGGTGCTCCGATTAGCATAAAACTTTGGATTTTGAAAATTTAAACTTAAATGAACATTCCCTACAAATTTGGTCCAAATCGGAAGAGGTCAATTTCATGTGCTGTGTACACTTGGCGCGGAATGACCCATAAGTGAAACACATGAATTAAATCATTGATTTTCGTTTCGTGTACAGAGTTCGAAATTTTCGCCTACTTGAGAAGAGAAACGTCATTTTTCACTTGCTAGGAGAAAAAGATGAGAATGTGAGAAGCGAGAGAATATTATACGCTCACAGCAGTTTTCACGAGAAAAGCAACAGCGATTTTTTTTTTTCGGAGAGCATGAGCGGCAGATAAATCGTTTCTTTTTCAGTGAATTCTTGATGCCGATAATGATTTTTCACTTCTTTCATACACCTGAAAATTCACTTTCCGCACGCAAACGATGATCCGAAATTAAGAACCAAAACAACAGTTAGGGCACATCCATAAATTACGTAGAATCTGAGGAGTAATGGAGAGGGGGGTTCAACATTTTTAATGGACCATGCATAAGGTATAGAAAAAAACGCCACCAAGGGGGAGGAGAAGGTCTAAAAGTGTCAAGAAAATTGAATCGTCATTTATGGATGACCCTTATGATTTGACAGAAGGTATAAAAGGAAATAATAAAAAAAATCTGCCGGACTGGTTGAAACCAATGAAATGCAAACAGGTGAGGCTATGTGAAATCGTTGTCCCTTTCGTTCTGCCGCTGTTATAATGGATAACACAGTATGACGTCACACTCCGTCAACCATTTAATCAGCGGAAGAACAAAAGAGACGGTGAATTCCCAAGCCTCAACTGTTTACATAACATTGGGTTGGAACCGAACAATTTGGGGTGGTATTTTTTTCGCTCTTCGTAGTTTTCAGAGCCAAATGGGTGATGAAAAAGTGTTTTCGTTGGTTTTTGAAGAGAGATATTTTCGGATTATGTATGAGAGAGGATAATAAATTATCGGTGAAAAAGGAGAGATGAAAATGTGAACGGTTCACAACTCACCGAAAAGTAGCTTGAGTGAGGAAATGCTTATCGTGCAGCTGAGTGAGAATTTCTATCTCTGGTTTCATTTTCATATGCCGTGAAGTTTGTTGAGTAGCCGTGACGGATATGAGTAGATCCTACTCAAATTTGGGTTGCTTAGAAATAGCGTGTATACCGTGTCGACCCGTTCTTTCACGCAAAAATTAACATTTTGCCTACGGGATTTTTCATTGGAGTGAAAGGATAACAAACGATCTGCTATGTTTCACGGAAATAACAGCAGGGGAGAGCTATGAAAGCCAATGTAGAAGTAGGCGACATATAGAAGTTCCTCCAGAAGGAGTAAGCATTGTACAAGATTCCGCTACCTCTAGAATCTAAGGAAGGACTCTAAACACTGCAAATACTGAGTCGTTTCATCAGTCGAGACTATCTTCACGTACTTCAAACTGTCTTAATGCATTTCAATTGTTGTTCGACATTTCACGACGCTAAACCTGATTTTCGTCTATGTACCATCTAGATACGCGATTATAAAATTTGATCAAAAAGTTCACGGTTTGTTTCACTGCTAGATCGTATTTTTCACGAGTCCTTCTTGTACAACGATCATATACAAAATGTGATGTCTGTGTGCAATACTTACGATAAATCAGAATACATGGCAAACGAAGGGAAGAGATATATTTCATAAGATGTGAATGTTCTGGATTCAAATCCTGCTACAGATTTACCAAGTAAAAGAGTCTCAAAATAAAATTTTATTTCCCGGGATTCGGGATTAGGGGCTCAAAGAAAGCAAGGTGGGTGTTTTCGTTCAGTGTAGATGTGCACAAAGAATACTACACACTACGAAAAAGGAATGTAAATTTCAGTTCCCTGAGACCGACACATGTAAGCGGGCCTTTTAACCGAGGGGGGCGACTCTATCTACGATGCAAAAAAGATTGTGTTTTGCTGTGGCTAGCTGCGCGCACGCTGAGTAGATAGAAAGAAGATTGATGAAGATTCTGAAGATTTCCTGCAAAAAGATGATGAGCGATGCAAGTAGATGCGACAAATGAAAGAAGATTTTTCGAAAATCGATTCGCCAGTGTGAGATTTGTTGAGCATCAAAACTTGAGATTTAGATGAGTCGCACCCCTCGCTTTTGACATAAGAATCATTTGAAAGAAACGAGAAAATCCATTCAATTAAACGTTCTCTTCGTCGAGTTGCACATGTTTCGGTTTAAGAACACGTAATTTTACATGACATGCTTGTTAACGTTCCACGATTTACGTCCAATATGGATTACGTCTCGTGTAAATGTAGTCATTTCTAAGTGTGTAGTTACCAGATCACCCGATAGCCCATCAGAAATCACCATTTTTCCCTTTGCGAACCTTCCGGAGCCGTCAGCTGATTGATAAGGGCGAGGCAACTGTAACTAGCTCATATGTAAGCTCGTCCGTGCAGTTGTCCACTGCTTGCCCCCACCCACTATTACCACTACCGATCGGGCGACAACGCGGTACCGGACGACGAGAATTGAAAAGGGCCTGTGAGGATCAAGAATATGAACAAATTCACACTTTGTCAGTTCGGTTTTCATTATAAATAGCCTACATTTATTGTGCTTCTTGTTGGTAAATCATCTTCTATTCTACAGAGCGCTACGCTTATCGCTTCCACAAGGCTGCTCTTTTGTTTGCTCCGTAGAGAGTAAATGCTATCATCACAATTTTATAAAGGTTTTTTTTTCGCTTCGCTCGCTTGATTCGATTCTTTTTTTTCTGGTTCATCTCACGCGGACGCATCTCAAGCTCGCGATCTTCCAGTCATGGCAATTGCTTTACGTTAGAGATTTTTTCCGTTTTTTGAAACAAAATATTATAAGTAGGGTAAGGTGGGATAATACGTGCCACGGGGTTATGTGGCCAACCGCGTTGGTTTATGTCTTATTCAACTCCAATTCAAGCGTTTTTCACTCAGAATTACTAGATGCACTGCTGAAGTATCATTTGGAAAGCTTACGGGGTAATAGGCCGTTGGTCATATTACCCCGTGGCACGTATTACATCACCAGTTCCCCTAAACGTTATGGGTAAAACAAATAGATATAGGAAGACTTACGTATGCGAAAAGACAAAAAAAAAATAAGACTCTTAATGAGAACACATTTCCTATGAGTTGCTATACTGAGAAGTTATCAAAAGAACTGAGTTTGAGTAATTTGCTGATTATCTCCGGCGTTTGTTGTGTGTGGTCACGTGAATGCCAAATGTTTCATCGGCTTCGAAAATTAATATGCTATAAAGTTAGCTGTATGTGTGTATGTATGCTAATATTTAATCTTTCGGTACATTTGGCGATACGGCTTTGGTAGCTTCACTCTTTGAGCTGCGCTGTGGGAAGGGCTGGAGGACGAAATCCTATGAGTAGTTTTAAATATATTTACAACCTAGTTAAGCGAACAGAAATGGCAGGTTTATCCAAAAACTGGTCACAAAAATGACCCATTCAGTTTTCCTTAGCTTAGGATATGGTATCCTGATAGGCTGGTCGTGCGTCAAAACTTCCGTACTGCGGTCCGTACTGTGCCACGTTGCTGGATTCCAGCCTGAAAGTAGAAAGTTTCAATTAGCACAAGGACGGGAAATTCGAGGCTTGATTAGCGCAACTTACTCGGTGACCGACCGGGCCCAGTGGCCCTGCTTGCTATTGTAACTGTTGGTCAGGATCAGACTGTTGGCCGAGGGGCGCCACGATTCTATGGCTAGCGAATGCTGACTTCCTCGTCTGGAAAACAAAGCAGAGCGAAATACACAAAACAATTAATCGCAATCCCTGAGCTGAACTTGTCCTAGAACAATGGGCGATCGGTGTTATTGAGCAGTAACGAGCAAGGAAAACGCTGTAGCTGATGGCAGTTCAACGTAAACAATCGCATGATAATAGTTGACTGACTGCAATGATAAGCCCCATGCCCCTTGCTTACGCTCTGATGCCACCTTTGTTGGTGTGCTTTGCCCTTTCGATGATGATACGGTGCAACACAGTTCTAACAACACAAACTGACAAGACATACCCTCGGAAGCTGATGTCCAGGCTACTGCTACGGCTGCCCAGGACGCTATCATGTGACTGGGTGTCCTGGCTCTTGATGAGCGATTCCACCGACGAGATTTCCTTGTACTGCGAGGGGGTTTTGTCGCACATCAGGAAGAACAGCAGCACCGTGCCGACGATCACTTCCAGCCCGACGATGAAGAGCGTTGAACCACGGAATCCGATGGCGTCGAACAGGAAACCACTGACCGAAGGTCCAACGAAGGCTCCGAACGCGAACGTGGAGGTCCACAGACCGGACACGAGCCCGTACGTTTCGATGCTGTCCGGCAGGCCCTTGGCACTGTGGGAGGGAGAGAAGGTTGAATGGTTGGTTAAAGTTTGTTAATAAATAAACTCATGGAACTAGTTGCGTGAACTTGACTACTAAATAATAATTGTATCTTATCGGTCGCGGATGTTACATCCCAACCAACTTTCATCAACAATAGCGGGTCTGGTTGTGTTCATTAGGGTGGGTCAAGTTTGTATGGTGGATTACAATTCCCCTTTATTTACAATTGTATTGATGTTCCCTACAACTATGCCAAATGTACCTGTCGAAAGTTCACACATTACTGAATATTGCACTTTTCTGAGACTTCGATTGAACAAACTATGCCGCGGTCCCCACCAACTGTGTCAAATAATTGTGATCTAGATTTTCGGAATACTAAATGATAGCTAACTTTTTGCATAGAATTCGAATCGATTTGCAGTCTTCGACAAAGTTTTTCCACATAGTTCGCCCAATCTAAGTCTAAAGAATAGTCAGCACTGAGAAAGTCTTGAATTCAGTGGCGCCCCGTAACATCACTTTTGACATGTGCACAGACTTTCAAAACCATATTCATACTCGAATCAAGCACCCTACTGATCACTGGTTATTTTATATAAAACATGTGTAAACTTTTCTTAAAATATTCAGAATACATAAAATGAACCCCCGTTACTCAAGTAACCAACAAGCTCGCTCATTCACTTTTTTGATATATACGGCTAATATGCGGCTAATATAAAGCTTAGAATGCCCTATGTTAGCCGTGTATCAGCCTTATATTGCAAAAAGGCGAATTAGCGGACTTGTTGGTTACTTGGGTAATATGAGCAGTGCTTCGTGCATATTACCAGGGTTCATTTTTAATTTGAACTTCTAGTAACCTTAGTCCCATCAGAGTTTCTGGTATCCTTATCTGCTGTTTTGATTTGATTCTGCTTTCCGTTTCGCATCGTTCCAATTGCTTTTCTCCATTCCACATGCTAAATAAAGTTTGAGCAACAATGCATGGCGTGCAGATAAGCGGGGTTCAAACTAAAAAGTGTTCAGATAAAAACGGTCCGATTACCGGAAGTCCACGGTATTCATATTTCCTATTTTTGTGTTTGAAGAATGATTAAACAAATTAAAAAAATATTAGATAAATCAAAAACAATTGCACAGAGGCTGAATCGTTGTGCAGTCTACGTCAAAGTTGTTTTGCATTGTTTTCTCAATCTTAGTCCCAAGTTTGGTAAAAATTAATATTTTTTTTTAATTTTTCACATGCCATATAATTTTCTTTTGCTTCCTATACCATTTTCCATACACCTTTTAAAGTTCTCCCGCAGCTCCAGATCTTAACCATACGTTCAAATTTGGCACATTTCCGGAGAACTTCGAGATTAGGGCGTAATTGCTTTTGTAAACAAACATGTCAATCACCGATTTCTCGCGAATTAAAGCTCAATCTTGAAAATTAACAACACAAACAGGTGAAAGAATGACTCCTCTATCTTTTGGTATAGTTTGTTTGCAAGATTGAGCTTTTATTCGCGAGCAATCGGCTATTGACGTGTTTGTTTACAAAAGCAATTACGCCCAAATCTCAAAGTTCTCCGGATTTGTTGGTGACCTAAATACACATTGAAAAAACAGTTGTTGTGATCCGCCATAAGAACTTTACCCACCCTAATGTACATACAATAATAATATGATTGTTTAAATTAAATTTATTGTTTGATCGAAATCCAAACATCTCAAATGCATCTCAATGTACCTGTGAAATATTTTAATAAATGATAGTCTATTTGATGTTCTTTTGGAATAACTGATAACATTTTGCGGTTACGTGCGCTGTGATGAAAAAAATCAATCAGAAAATCATGTACATTTCAAATTTAATATAATATTTATTTTTTAGTACTCTTGAAATAAAAATTTTGTTCTTTTTTTCTTTGGTTTGTTTTCCGTCGAGAGGCAGCTCCCATACCTGGACCCTACCTATCGACCCATCAACTCATGAACCAAGGACCAACGGCTTTACTTCCCTTCCGAAGGAAGACGTTATGCCTCAGAACATCTCGGCGGCGTCGACTGGGATTGAACCCAGGCCAGGCTGCCGACAATAGTCGCCCTCAGCCGAGAAGTCTGGAGCGTTATAAAAACGTTTTCAAAACATTTTGGACAATTCTGTCGATTGGAATAAATAGAATAGCTAGCAGCAGTAAAATGTATAGTTGGAGATGCTTAACGACAAATATCAGACTTACTTCCGGTAGTTCCGTTAGAACACGGCAGTGTGAACATTGTATATAGAGAGGGTAGAAAACAAACAAAGGTCAATTTTGAGGCAGGCGTGAATAGTAGTAAAATTCTTCTTTATTTTGATTTGTTATGTGGTTTACAATTGCTAGGTTAGCCAGAAGGGCTCTTTATCTTTGGTGGACTTTTTGATTTTGTGTTGTACATGTTGTTTTTTACTGTGTAATGTTTTTCAATTTTCTTCTTGTGACGTATGTTGTTTGAATGTATTAATTTGTTATTCTACCTACTTAACCTAACTTTACCTAATGTTCCAGATCCCTGACGATCTGTTGATCGGATCGCCTACAGCAATCTCTGAACCTTGCGATGGAGTCAGCTCTCCGTAACTCCAGTGTCTGAAGACCAGCCAGGTGGTGGACGACCTCATGATTTCTAGTCCGCGGGGGACTGTTAAGGATCATCCTAAGGATCTTGTTTTTGATCCTTTGGGGTTTGAGGTGATGGCATTTGCCGCAACTCCCCCAGATTGGCACCCCGTATTCTATTTTGGGAAGGATGATTTGTTTGTAGACAGCAAGCTTATTTTTCAGGGACAGGGTAGACCTCCTGTTGATGAGTGGATACAACGATCTTATCACTTGGTTTTGGTTTTGTCAACGTGCTCCCTGAAAAGAAGCTTGCTGTCTAGTGTTAGTCCGAGGTACACGACCTCTTTGGACCATTCCACCACTGAGCAGTTTAAGCAGATCTTATTATTTTCAGACGGAACAAGTCTAGGAGATTTTGAGTGTGGAAAGATGATGACCTGGGTCTTTACCGCGTTGATACGGATCTTCCAGCTGTTGAAAGGACGGCGTGAATCGGGTTAATCATCTCCTTACCAAACTCCCCTATTGAGGAGGGATTGCATCTTCTCATCTATCGTATGCAATGAACACTTTAAGTCTGATATTTGTCGTTAAGCATCTCTAACTATGTAAATCGTTAACTTCACGTATGGAGTAATACAATCATAATTAGTTAAAGAAAAATATAAACAAACAACCACAGATGACGTGTGCGTGACGCTGAGAAATTGCTAATCGAAGGGCGGACGCTGTTTAGATTGACAAGAATACGTAAATTCCCTACATAGGGTTAACTACCCCATTCCCGGCCTATTCAGCACAACCCGTACTTAGTATGTCTTAAGCTAGCGTAGTTTAGCACCAAATGGAATGTTATTATTACAGATGGCTTCAAATTTATATACCTTTTCATATGTACCGTTAAATCTGATAAGCGTTCGCAAAATATTCGTTTATTGTTAAAAATTCCATACTGATTCTGGCGGTTCAACTTGGCCTACGGGTTTTCTTGGGCCTATTAGCCATTGAAACGCCATTGGGATTCTCTTTGGTCTATCGAACGGAAAGAAAAGTGAACTCGCGTGCGCCTTTTGTATACTTCTTTTTATTTCGAGGTCTTATTTTGCGTTCTTCAACACTTTGTCTTGCAGCTATTGAATAGAAGCATCGTAACAAATATTTTTTGACACGTTCACGCCGAAATTATAGATATAGGGGAAATGCAGGTAATGTCGGCCTAAGTGTCTCTAATTTGGGCCCATACATAAATTCAGCAATCGACTAAATTTTCAATAGCAACCAAAAATATCCATTAGTAACGTCCCAATAACGCGTTCATCTAGATAAAATTGATAAATAGCTGATTTTTAGCGATGGGCACATAAGAGACATTTCCCCAATTTGATGTTTTGTGCTCGATAGGTCGGGAATGGGCGATTGGGCCGAAGTAGATTTTTCCCCAACAAAAAATGTTTTGTATTTATTTTAGGTAAACATTTAAAAAATTTTAATCCGAGATATCTTAAACTGTCCATGCCCGAGTTTTGAAATTAAATAAAAAAGCTCATCACATATGCAACATTTTGGTCTGTTTAAAACCTTGAACACTTAAAAACTGACAAAATTCGAAGAGCAAGAACTTTTGGTCAAATGATTGATCTTTTTGTTATTACTTTTTGTGTGTTATTTATATCAGAAATTAATATCTCAAACATTGTTTTCTGATTATAAACTTTATAAAAAAAAATTTACCATAAAGTTAAAAAAATTTACCAAAAGTTCTTGTTTGACTATTTTTGACAATTTGTAAGTGTCCATAATTAGGACAAATACGTTTTGAGATATTTAGATTTTTTATATTTTTTTGAATTTTACTTAAAGTAACTTAAACTTTTTTTAAAATATTTTCCCAGAATTTTTTTTTCGCTGCAACTTTTTTTGAGACGTCATTCAGAAATGCCGTTTCCGTTTTGCAAATTTGGAAAAAAAAATTAAAGTCTTCATTTTGAAAATTTTACAAATTTCAAAATGGCCACAAAAACGAGTGTACCCCATTAGGCATAAATACGTTAGGCATAAATTCATTAGGCAAAATGAACGATAGGCATAATATACGTTAGGCATAATAGACGTTTGGCATAAAATACCTTGCTGCTGTGCAACTCTAGAAACCTGTTTCGAGCATGATAAGCAATGCTTAAATTAGGCTAAGCCACAGACAAACAATTCTACAAAAAATTTCGTCAAGCGTATTTTGCATGCGCACTAGCACCATAGAGGTAACTCTAAGACCAGAAGGTCCCGAAGAAACGAGCTTACTTTTTGGCTCTGGTACTATCTATGGAAACATAGGAAAATCCATGAACCCCTCATTTTATCTGTCAAACTTTCATAGCGAATCAAAACAAACATAGTGTAGTACTAGAATTTTAGCTAGAATGGTGTACGTTTATCGATTGAAACCAATAGGCTAGTCAAGTAGTGAGCCAATTTAAAATCGTTAGTTTCGAATTGATTGTTGCTAGCACCATCTATCATCCACATTCCCAAGCATTGTTTTGCAATCGGAGCATGTGGCTAAGCGTTGAAAAAAAGATGATTTAAGTTATACAAACATAGTTTATTTCATAAGCACAGTTTGGAATCCATTATTTATCATATCATAAGTGACGTAGCTACATATTTACTTAGATCCAAGATTAGTAGCGATAGCGGTTAAGTAATCTGGAAATGAAAATTCAGCATAGTTTTGAACTATATCTTGAAATCAATCGCATCTAGCAATACAACAATCACACATTTGTTGTAATATTACACACATAGATATTGCAATTGTCAAAGAAGAAAAGGTTTTCCTCAAAGAACAGCTCATGAAATAAAGAATGGTGAATTCTGTGGATCTTCATTCAATAACAAAAAAATATACCTGCTGCTACCAGGATTTACTCTCATACTTTTCGATACAACGATTATTTTTTTGTATATTACCGTTTCGCTTTGTAGTTCAGTGCATTACACATTTCATTGAATACCAATGCAAGAGGTGGAACCTGGCCATCCGAAGAAGATACGGAGCTTTGTTTTGCGCGGTTGGATGTGTCCCAGGACCCTACCAGAGGAACAAACCAGAAGGCAGAAAAGCAGCGGCAGCAGTCTAAAGATCCTAGCATTCCAGGAAATCCACGATTCTTTCCAACACGCTTCAACCTCTCCACCTCGTCAGGTGTCGGATAGCGTAGGTCTTGGGGCCGTAAATACGAACAGTGGTTTCACAAAACTCCACAAAAGATTTTAGCGTTGTTGTCTCTGTTATCCATATGCAAGCTGACGGATTGCGGTGGTGCATTTTTGAAGGCCAGTTAATCCTAGTTTACAAGCCACATCAGGCTTTTGCACGCAGTAAGGTTTCTTATCTTCTATTTCTACAACAATCTTTGTAAACCAGTTTTGGGACATTCGAAACCACCGCCAAAACTGTGAATCGCTATACATACGTGGGAATCTCGGAGAAATAATCCTAAAACAGTCGCTCAGTCCCTACATGAGCACTCCTGTTGATATTCGTTTTTTTGTCTGGTCGAGATCCTCCTGCTCGATTTTTCTCGTCTTCTTCCGCAGCCCTTAACAACAGTTCATGTGACTGGAAAATGCTGTACAACTTCAATGTCTTGCTCGTCACTTAAAATAATGGAATCAGCGGCCTCCGGGAAACAATCTGCCGTCGATGCATTTGGAATATTGATGATACAACTACGCAACTACTGCACATTGATCGATCGATAAAAATGATATAAATTACAACAATATGACGATGTTCTTCGTGGTGATATTGTTTTGGGTTTTAGCAACACACGGTACAAAGACATTACTCAAGTCGCTAAACTCAAAATAGAAACCAACATGAATCACCGGTGGAAGAATGGGGTGCTAAGCAAAAATGGCTACCTAGATGGAGCCTTATTATAGGGATAGAGATAGTGCCTCCTGTGGCGGTGCTCTTAGGCTGAGTGTGAAAGCCGTGAATGCACTGCACTATTCAATTCATTGCTCTGCACACTATTTCAAAACTACCCAAATTTGGGTATAATCCACCCAGATTGGTCAAAACTGAATCTACCCAAAAATGGTTAAACTATGTAGGAAGTGACAAGTTGACAAATGAACAAAGTCGATCGGATTCATGCGTAGACATATTTCTGATCGATTGGTGATAAAATTATTGAAATTGATCCAGGGGCAGCTGAGTGAATAACGTTCAAAATCTTTCATAAATTTGTTACATGTTCCATTTTTGGTTTTTACAAAGTGTACCCCCATATAGAAATCACAGACGTAGTCCTACGTTAAACATGTAAAGTACATGAGCATTGCCATTTATGGAAAATGCTCATGTTCATGCAAGAAACTAGCGATCATGGATTTCATTTATCCCCCTGTAGATAATACGTGAAGATATTAGCGAAGCCTATCCTAATTTCCCCCATCAAAGAAATTTGCCAATTTTTTTAGAGTTGTGTACTTACATTGAAGTTCTCAGCGAGTCCGTGAATCCAGATACCAGCACTGCTGCTATTCCCAGGCCATGAAGGACCAGACCAACGATTACGGTTTCTAGTGATCTGCGGAAGAAAAGCAACCAAATGTTTAGATTACTACCAATCTGGCACTCGGTTGCCCACAAGTGGAGTTTATGATTATATGAACGAATAACAAATAATAAAAATGGGGTGGTTGATTTTTCCAAAAAATTTGGGTAAAAGTTTTAGGATTTTTCCGGACATCACTTACTTTGAAAATTCATAACTCATCAACCAAGCATTGTCACGGTGGAGGATAATCGCAAGGAAAATAAGGAAAACCATTGTTCTGGTAATGCAAATTTTTCTAATGATATTTATGCTTGAGAACTTCGTATCATACACTGCTGGGAATTTCAGGGTGGTGTCTCTGACCGTTTTTGAGATATGATTGAAACATTAATGACCAGTCGTAGGAAAGCTATGAAAATGATTTTCTTAGAATGGCACAAACCTGGCCTTTAGTTTTTTGGATAATCAGAAACGGTAAGAAATAGCACTCTGAAATGTTCTCCAGATAATAAATTTAAAAAGTCATCACTCGGAAAATGGTTTTCCCTGTTTTTTTTTTGCAATTTTCATCCACTGTGAAATTTTTTATCGATTTTTTTCGGTTTATATTTTTATGGATTACTGAGATAATTTACTTATTATTTAATTGCAGAACATTCTTTCTACGATTTTCCATTCATGAGTTATGCATTTTAAATGTACGTGATGTCAGTGTTCACTCGGCTGTCGACAAAAGCAGACCACTCTCGATGTGTGCTACGCGATCGTCTGTTTTCTCGGCAGCAACCATTGTGTGGTCCTCCTCATTGTTCTTCATCAGCAGTTCTTTCGGTCGATGCGTCGTCGACTTTGGAAAGCAACCGTTTCGTGATGAGTGTGTGAGTGCTGACCACGTTTTGCGTCCATTGCTGCAATGGACGCGCTCTGACCCTCGTTGGCGTACAACAATTTGCCATACAATGAAACTACTGGAAGCGGCTCCAGTTCTGATGGAGGAGGCTTTTTGGATAGCGGAAGATAAAGTGTTTATTGTGTTGTACCTTTTGACTATAGTTTTAAGATGTATTGTATAGTGACCAAGATTCCTCGGCTCTGTTAAGTTAATTCGGTTGAGCCTTATCAAATAAATTAATAACGAAAAAAAAAAATGTACGTGATGTGTGGGAAATTAAACTATTCCGTTTTTTTTTTTTATTTTTTTCGTTCATATAATCATAAACTCTATCCATGGGCAAAATTTCTTATAATTCTGAGACCCTTCGGCCCAAACCTGTCCGATTATAAAAAAAATCCCCGCTTCCGAATGTCCCAACAAATACTTACGTCTCCACCGGTATGAACGAAGCCGGTCCGACTAATAGGAAGCCAGCCACCACCAGGAAGCATCCCATCGTGGAACACACCTTGGGACTAAGGAACTTGTCCACCATCCAGCCCCAAATTGGCGCCGTCAATGCGTAGACTCCACCGTTGATCACGAATAGTACCCCTGTCGAAGGTGATGGAAGATTGTCAATTTCGCACCCTCGCTCCTCAGCAAATCATCATCGTACTCACCCAAAAGAATCGGTCCCAGATCGAACTGCCGCAGGTGAGGTTCCAGCGTCGCGCTGAGGAATCCGATCGAGGCACTGGTGGCGCAAATGGCCAGAGAGCTAACCAGGACACCTGGCACTTTGAGGACGCCCCACATGGAGGTGCGTTTGTCATTTTCCGTAAACGGTTCATCGGCGTGTTTGGGCAGAATGCACAGCGTTAGGATGGCCGTGATGAACAGAGCCGAACCGAGAACCACAAACGGTAGGTAGTATCCGCCGACGGAGTACAGGGCACCGCCGACCATCGGTCCAACGATCAGTCCCAGCCCGAAGCATGTCTCCAGAGATGCCTGTACGGTGGGAGAAGGTTCATTTAGGTGATATTGAAACGTCGATTGCCATATAATACTTACGAAGGTGGTCGCCACGTTGTTCGGGAACTCTTTCGCAATGATGGCGAAGGAGGCTGTCAGGAAGGCGGCATTGCCCAAGGCTTCCACGATTCGGATGATGAAGGCACACGTGATGAAGGGAATATGATCCGGGATCCGGTCCAGTAGACCGAACAGGATAGCTGCCGTGCCGGTGGTGAAGATTCCACTGTTGAATAATACTTTTGGTCCAATCCGGTTGATGCTCTGACCGTATATTGGGGAAATGATGAACACTACCAGTTCGAAGATGCCGAACACTAGACCGTACTCGGTCGCAGTTGCACCCTTCCGTTCCGCCTGTGGAGTTGATGGATGAAGTGTAAAATAGTAAATCATCCTCAGAAATCTTCCTAAACTAAATTATGCAGTCCAATAATTAATCCACAATCGAACCCTTTCATCCCCTAGCTCGTAGATCTATTTCCATCCCAATCTATTAACCATACCATCGTTCATAGTCGTCGTCGGCGCACGCTTACACGTAACAAGCGCCAGGATCGAATTTCAAATCTTCGTAGTGTCTAGATGTGTAGGTACGGCGCGCACTGGCTCGATGACCAAGGTTATCGCGATAGCTTATAGCCATCGCCATCTACATCGATCGGAACGCGAACATCCTGCTGCGAGAGCTGGATTTGAACATTTTTCTGCTGACAACAGCAGATCCGGACCAACAGATGCCGATCCAGCTAGCAGAACCAACTGCTGACTGCTGAATGTAAACGATTAGCTTAATGACTATTGAAATCAAACGGTCATTCTCGTCCGTGTAGTTAGTTTTGGCGTCTCACAAGTTCAGAGTGATAACGATTTGCTTAGCCTTGAATGCTTAATCGCCACTAGGAGCTAGTCGTCATCGATGATGGAAAACGAATGAAAAACTATATGTTCGGAGCAAGAGTGTTCTTGTCACTATCTCCGGTACTTTCGTTTCACCGGCTGAAATTGGCTTTGAACTGGTGGGTCAAATGTACAAGATCGTGGCTGCCTTCGGGAACAATGATGATACGTTTTTGGCCTGTGGTGACAAGTGATGATTACGCACGGGCATGTGTAATCGGTTGGACAAAAATAATGCGAATGCTGTTGCTATTCGGTGTTAGATTACTTACTAAGACACTGTACCGAACATCACGTGAATATTTTGCGGTCCCCAGTCGTTGTCGCGAAGTCTGAGGCGCAGGTCAAGGTTACTTGCGTTGTTCTAAGTATTTTGCTTTATTAGAAATTTAATCTTTCTTTTAAAGTTAAAACAGTCAAGTGAAACCTGAGTCACGAAACACTTAAGGGTGCATTTCTCTATTGTAGAATACTTGCCGAATTAATTTCGTGTAGATTTAGGTATAACTGATATTTATATGGAATTAATGCATCTGGATCAAAGCGTTGCCTGCCTGAATGACCAAAGAGCGCATAGTCAGAAATATATAGAGGAAAGGGAGAGAGGAGGTCAATTTTTAGGAGGAGACAAACATTGGATCCAGTGTTAGATCCGGTCGCTAAAGAAACTCGAAGGAGAATTTCATGAAAATACTGAGGATCATATAAAACAATTACTGAGTTGAAATCAAAAGTAGTTCATTGAAAAACGAAGCTTCGGAGAAATACTTACTAAATACTAAGGAAAATTAAAAAAAAACCAAAACTTCGCGAGAATTCTAAGCAGGGTGGCCATTAAACAAACCGGAAGAACCGGGAGTTTGATGGGAACCTTACAATATATATGTATATTATCCATATTAATCAAATTCAGTTTCTAAATATTCTTATATTCTTTTCGATGGTACAGGATATCAAAATTAAAACCTGCCCAAGTAACCATCTAGCCCACTAAAGGCTGACTAAAAGTAAATTGGTACGCACAAAAAGACATGTAATTTGTTGTTCAATAAGTTTAAAAAGTCTATTAATGGTTGCTTTACAGTATTTTTATTAAAACTTAAAAGTTACAGCATTAGATCGTTACATTTCTCCAGTTCGAACGAAATCACGAACCTTCCTCTTGATGGAGCCCATCACCGCCCGCACAGTGGAAACGGACACGGAATCAGCGCATTTCTTCCATTTTGCCTAGGTGTAGGTAAACCTTAACATTTGAATCAACACCAATGAATTTTTACACTTAAAGTCCGAGATGTCTTCTTCTATTTTTTTGCATTTCAAGCTTATTGCTTAGCGCATATTAGCTTATTGCGTGCTCTCAACTTAGTGTTCTAAATGCACTTCCACAGTTATTAATTGAGAGCTATCGGTGCCAATACCAATGCATGAATTTGTATATTGTGTGGCAAGCACAATGATACTCTATGCCCAGAGAAGTCCAGAAAATTTCCATCCCGAAAGATTCCCTCGACCGGACCGGGAATCGAACCCACCGCCTCCGGCTTGGTAATACCGTGCCTTTACTGACTACGCTATGAGGCCCCCCGACAAAGTCCGAGATGTGCAGCGAGCATGTCCCACTTGATTTTTACAACGCAAAAATAAATACAGTTTATTACTAAAATTAAAATCTACTTTTTCTTACGTACCTATTACAAGATTAAACGTTATTGTATCTACTGCTTCAAACAGAACTATGTTTTGTCAACTGTGTGCAAAGTTATTAGCAGTTCGTGACTAAAACTGTGTATGCCAAGCATGCTGGTATTGGTATTGAATGCCGGTCCATACCCAATAGACTGATGCAAAATTTGAAATTTTCGCTCCACAGTGCTCAAACGGTTTCAAATCAGATCCTGATTAGCCTCCGAAAATTTAAACTCATTTGGTAAGAATCTATTCGAAGTTTCTATGGAAATTACTATGGGAAAACCAAACTTCTTACTCATTGTCTTCTACCCATGTTCAATATTGCTTTTTCGAAAATTTCTAAAACTATTCTTACGGGAAATGTTCTAAGCTACAACTTTGCTGAACATAGGTTTTCAGCCAAATGTCAAATTAAATTGTTATTAATTGTTTAAGAGATTGATAATCTTATGGCATGATTGAGCAGCTGTTCTGTGGGCAACACTTTATTCTGCAGTCTATGTCACACAGCCATGATTTTTGTGGTCTATTCTACGCGCTTGAAACACCAATGTTGCCTGCTGAACAGTTGAATGAGCATAATCATAAGACATCAGTGCCCTGAATCATTAATAACTTTTGTTCCTTACATTTGATCGAAAAGTGGTCTTGAACAAAGTTGTAGCTGAGAAAATTTGCTACAATCACTGCTATCGTTTTTAAAAGCATAGTGATGTGGTGAATTGTTAGATAGATATGAACAAAAACATAAGTTTTCCCATAGTAATTCCTATTTAAACTTGAAATGGTTTGTGCTAAGTCAGTTTCTTACTAAAGTAGTTCCAATTATGGAAGGCTAAGCAGGACCCAATTTGAAACCGTTTAAGCACTGTGGAGCGAAAATTTTAAATTTTGCAATAGTCTTATACCCAAGGATCCATCAAGCCTTATGCTAAAAGGTTTTTTTGTTGTTGTTTATTAATTTATTTGATAAGGCTCAAACGAATTAATTTTACAGAGCCGAGGATTCTTTGGTCACTACATCTTAAAACTAAAGGGTGATACGGTCAAAATTTGGTCAAGGGAAAACGCGTGTAAATCGGTGAAATCGTTTATATAAAAAATCAAATTAAATTTCTTTTTCAAGTTCAATTAGTATAAAATTCAGGAAAAATATTCAGTTAGGCTTCCGCTTTTCCAAATCCGAATTGCCGGGCCTTACGCTTGACCCCTGCCATCAGATTTTGCTAAGCCACCTTGTCCACCTTCTTCGCCGCAGAAAGCCAGTTTGCCTTGAACTGCTGCTCTCCCTTAGCAGTTTTTTTGGTCTTCTTTAGGTTCCGCTTGACAATAGCCCAGTATTTCTCAATTGGGCGGAGCTCTGGCGTGTTGGGAGGGTTCTTGTCCTTGGGAACCACCTGCACGTTGTTGGCGGCGTACCACTCCATGGCCTTTTTACCGTAATGGCAAGATGCCAAATCCGGCCAAAACAGTACGGAACAACCGTGTTTCTTCAGGAAAGGCAGCAGACGTTTATTCAAACACTCTTTCACGTAAATTTCTTGGTTGACAGTCCCGGAAGCTATGAAAATGCTGCTTTTCAAGCCACAGGTACAGATGGCTTGCCAAACCAGATATTTCTTTGCGAACTTTGACAGTTTCATGTGCTTGAAAACATCTGCTACCTTTCCCCTTCCTTTTGCCGTATAAAACTCCTGTCCCGGAAGCTGCTTGTAGTCGGCTTTGATGTAGGTTTCGTCGTCCATTACCACGCAGTCAAACTTCGTCAGCATCGTCGTGTACAGCCTCCGGGATCGCGCTTTGGCCGTCGTATTTTGTTTATCATCGCGATTTGGAGTCACTACCTTCTTGTAAGTCGATAGTCCGGCTCGTTTTTTGGCTCGATGCACGGTTGTAGACGATACACCCAGCTTATTTGCGGCATCTCGGAGAGAGAGGTTAGGGTTTCGCTTGAAACTACCGGCAACTCTCTTTGTCGTCTCAGCGGCTTCCGGTTTTCGATTTCCCCCCGATCCAGACTTCCTGGCTGTCGACAAACGTTCCCCAAACACTTTAATTACATTTGTAACGGTTGATTTGGCAACTTTTAGCGATTTTGCCAACTTTGCGTGCGAGTAGCTCGGATTTTCGTGATGCGCGAGCAAAATTTTGATACGCTGCTCTTCTTGCTTGGACGGCATTTTGACAACTGAAGAGTGAATTCCAAAATCGAAATAGGAGCAACATTCTACACACACACACCTTCAAAATGAGGGGTGTTCAGGTTTTTTAAATGCAAAATTGAAAGAAATACGTCAAGTTGATATTGACCAAATTTTGACCGTATCACCCTTTATAGTCAAAATACAATACATCTTAAAACTATAGTCAAAAGGTACAACACAATAAACACTTTATCTTCCGCTATCCAAAAAGCCTCCTCCATCAGAACTGGAGCCACTTTCAGTGGTTTTATTGTATGGCAGTTACGCCATCGGCGGGCAGAACGCTTACATTGCACAGTGGTCCAGAATGCAGATTTAGATGGAATGATATGTTTTGAGCCTGAAATTGAAACTTTAGACTAAAAGTCTCTTCTACAACGTTGTTTCTTATAGTTAGGCCACAGACAAACAGACGTAACTCTTCATTGTGGATCTTCGTTCATGCATTTAACGGTTGATTTGAATATTATCAGTTCCGCGAACTACTCGCCGCAGCGCTGGCATCGGATCACTTTGACGTTTCTATATATTCTATAGAACTTTTATGCAATATTGTTTACG